GCCGCATAGCCATGAAGATTGATATGAAATGATGTTGTTGTTGTTGCTGTTGTTATTAGTCGTGATGATGATGGCCAAATGATGTTGATAACGTCTTTAATGTAATTTCAAATTATTACAACAATAATATTGACGACGACGATGGTGATAATTATAATGCAGACGATTATGATGACGACGATGATTCAATTACCGTAACCGATGACGGTAATTATGATTGCAGCGTTGATATGCAGCTGCTGCTGCGGATGATGATCGCGGTTTTGATTTCCTGATGGCGCTTGCTACTGCCGCCGCCGATAATGATATCGACGTTTTCATTGACGACCGGTGATTAAGGCTGATCACTCTCGCGTGACGTTGCGCTGCTCCTGATTGTGATGCCGACGACGTCATCGCCGACACGCCTGATTCCCACCGCTGATCGGCGGAAACGCCACGCACTGTTCGCGCGCTTTGTACCGGTGCCTATGACGTCACAGGGAGTAGACCGAACCCCCAATCCTCCCCCTCCCCCATCCGTCCCCATGATATCCCAGGCCCCCCCCCCCCCTCTGCTGCCCTCCTCTGAGCACCACCCACCCACTCGCACCCATCCCTCACAGCCCATTCCTCTCCTCCACTCTCCCCATCCACCCTCTCCCATATCCCTCACCCCCACTCTCCCCCACCACTCCACTCCCTCCTTCCAGTCACCCCCCACCCACCCACTCCTTTCTCACCCAGCCCCTGCCCCCCGGCTCCTCTCTCCTACCCCTCCCCCCACTTCTACCCCCCCCCTCCTCCCGCCCCCTCCCCACCGCCACTTCCAGGACGCCTGGTCGCGCGCGCGCTGCGAGCGCTCCATTCAGTGGCACCGGCGGCGAGCACTCGCGCGCACGCACCAACGCAGAGACACACATCGAGATACACACACACACATACACACATCGAGATACACACACACACATACACACATCGAGATACACACACACACATACACACATCGAGATACACACATACACATCGAGATACACACACGTAGAGATACACACACACACACACGTAGAGATACACATCGAGATACACACACACACACGTAGAGATACACACACACATAGATACACACACACATCGAGATACACACACACACGTAGAGATACACACACACACACGTAGAGATACACACACACACACGTAGAGATACACACACATCGAGATACACACACACACGTCGAGATACACACACGTAGAGATACACACACACATCGAGATACACACACACACACACGTAGAGATACACACACACACACATCAAGATACACACACACACATCGAGATACACACACACATCGAGATACACACACACACACACGTAGAGATACACACACACATCGAGATGCACACACACACATCGAGATACACACACACACACATCGAGATACACACACACACGTAGAGATACACACACACATAGAGATACATACACACATAGAGATACATACACACATAGAGATACATACACACATAGTGATACACAAACACAGAGATACATACACACATCGAGATACATACACACATAGAGATACACACACGTAGAGATACATACACACATCGAGATACATACACACATAGAGATACACACACGTAGAGATAAATACACACATAGAGATACATACACATATAGAGATACACACACACATCGAGATACATACACACGTAGAGATAGATACACACATCCAGATACATACACATATAGTGATACACACACACACACCTAGAGAGATACCTACATAGACACAAACACTCATACACACACACACTGATACACACACACTGATACACACTGATACACACACACACACACTGATACACACACACACTGATACACACACACACACTGATACACACACACACTGATATACACACACACTGATACACACACACTGATACACACACACACTGATACACACACACACTGATACACACACATACACACACTGATTCACACACACTGATACACACACACGGATACACACACACACACCTAGAGAGCTACCTACATACACACACACACTGATACACACACACACACACTGATACACACAGACACACTGATACACACACTCTAATACACACACACACACTGATACACACACACTGATACACACACACACACTGATACACACACACACTGATATACACACACACTGATACACACACACACTGATACACACACACACTGATACACACACACACACTGATACACACACATACACACACTGATTCACACACACTGATACACACACACACGGATACACACACACACACCTAGAGAGCTACCTACACACACACACTGATACACACACACACACTGATACACACAGACACACTGATACACACACACTGATACACACACATACACACTGATACACACACACACACACTGATACACACACACACACTGATACACACACACACACTGATACACACACACACTGATACACATACATACACACACTGATTCACACAAACTGATACACACACACACTGATACACACACACACACACCTAGAGAGCTACCTACATACACACATACACACTGATACACACACACACTGATACACACACACACTGATACACACACATACACACTGATACACACACAAACACACACTGATACACACACTGATATATACACACACACTGATACACACTCACACACTGATACACACACACTGATACACACACACACTGATACACACACACACTGATACACACACACACTGATACACACACACACTGATACTCACTGATACACACACACCTACCTACATAGACACACACACACTGATATACACACACACTGATACACACACACACACACTGATACACACACACACTGATGCACACACACAAAAAGATCCCCCATATAGCCTTAACAGACTGTAGGGGCAAGTGCTGTTAGCGAGCACCTATGCACACACACACACTGATACACACACACTGATACACACACACACTGATACACACACACTGATACACACACGCACACACTGATACACACACACACACTGATACACACACACACTGATGCACACACACACACTGATACACACACACACTGATACACACACTGATACACACACACACACGCTGATACACACACTCCTACCTACATAGACACACACACACTGATATACACACACACACACACACCTAGAGAGCTACCTACATAGACACACACACTGATACACACACAAAGACACACACTGATACATACACACACACACACCGATATACACCAGTATATACAAAAAATTACTTACACAGGCACGCATCATATGCATCAGGACACATGCACAATACATGCACAATACACGTACACACAACATCATACGTGCATTAGCCTTCTGCACACATCACCCATGCATGCACACGTTATATACAGGGCACGTGGAATTAATTGTACGTGCAACCGCATAGAACAGATCACGCGTACACGCACGCACGCACAATACATGCACACAACAGCACTGTGTTAACGGCACACAGGATGTGTGTACACGGGCACAGCGTGCATGCGCTAGCGCGCCGCAGACCGCACAGACACATCGCGTGCGTAATGCACACGCGGCGTTTCGCGTCGAGCGAGCGGTACTCACACAGGCACGCATTGTATAAGGCGCTTCTCGTTAACATTGATACTCAAATCAGTAGGTGAGCATTGCATGGGCTCTGGATTACACACGAACCGTGGGTTTGTGTGGGTAATCGCACACAGACGTACATACATACACACACACACCGTTGCCGAGATGAATACATGCAACAGATATTAGCAATTTAATACCAGCACGTGTACGCTGCGTGTGTGTGCGTGTCCCACAGAGTGGAAACACAGAGTTTGCCTGGAACAAAGGAGGCATAGATGGTAACGGATCATCATCATCATCATCAAACACACACAGAAACAGAGACAGGCGCGTCTATTTATGTAGACACCAAGAGAGAGAGAGACACACACGGAATAATGACAAAAGCGGAATATTCGCAGCAGCACGCGTAAATGTTAACACGGCGATAGACAAATATCGACACGCGCGCGCGCTAGAGAAAGACGCAGACGAGGGGATACATGCGCATATTGCAGGGACACCCCAGTAAGATATAGGGACATAGACATTAGTAGGTACACTCGCAAAGACAAATAGGGCATGCATCATTCAGACAATAGCAGAGACTCGCACGCGGTACAAAGGGGTGGGGGAGGGGGGAAGAGACAGAGCGAGAGATTGGTCAGATACGCGCAGGACAAAGGGACAATAATACATCAACCAATACACGCATCAGCAGACACACACACACGGACACACGGGTAACATAGGTAGACTTGAAGACATTACCGGACACACACACGGACACACACACACACAGACAACACATGCACAGACAGACACGACAAAAGGACGTCACAGCATTCGTCACGCACGTGGACACGCGCACGTGGAGAGACACGCGCGTGGACACGGACGTGGACACACGCACGTGGACACACACGCGCACGTGGATATACACGTGGACACACGCGCGCGCACACACGCGCACGTGGACACAGACACACGTGGATATACAAGCGCACACGTGGGCAGACACAAACGTGGACACGGGCGTGGACACACGCACGTGGATAGACACGCGCACGTGGATACCCACGCGCGCACGTTGACACAAGCGCACAAACACACACACACGTGGACACACACACACACACACACGTGGACACACACACGTGGACACACACACACGTGGACACACACACGTGGACACACACACACGTGGACACACACACGTGGACACACGCACGTGGATAGACACGCGCACGTGGATACCCACGCGCGCACGTTGACACACGCGCACAAACACACACACACACACGTGGACACACACACACGTGGACACACACACGCACGTGGACACACGCACGTGGATAGACACGCGCACGTGGATACACACGTGCGCACGTTGACACACGCGCACAAACACACACACACACGTGGACACACACACGCACGTGGACAGACACACGTGGACACACACACACACAGACACACTAAAGATGCGCGCACACTGCCGGCCGGATACGAGACGAGGCAGGCCGCTGGTGCCCTCGCAGTGACGGTCGCGGGCTCCTCTCCACACTGGCGGGCGACCGCGCCACCACGCAGAGGGGCCTGCTCGTCTCGGAGCGCGAGTCGGGGATGTCCGCCAGGGTCGTGGGCGAATGGCTCAGGACCTTGAACCTGGACGGCTACACGGACGCCTTCCTCGAGAATGGTTACGACGACCTCGAGATATGTCGCCAGATCGGCGAGGCCGACCTGGACGCGATCGGGGTGTCCGAACCGGCGCATCGCTCCAAGATCATCGCGGCCGTGTCTCGCCTGGCCGAGAGGACAGCGGGCGCGGCCCTCTATTTCGATCTGGAGGAGGAATTGCAGCCAGAGAGGGCGGCCGTCCTAACTATCCACCACCACCAGCAGCAGCAGCAGCAGCTTCTATACCACCACCACCACCACAGCCATAACAACCACTACCACCACCACCACCTTCAAAATCATCATCATCAGCAGCAGCACTATGGGCACCATCAACAGCAGCAGCAGCATCTCAATGTCTACCAAAGCCAGGGCGCGAGATCTTCTTACTCGAAGCTGCGTCTCAAGGTGCTGCTGAGAGAGAAGCTCCTACGGGACGGCATCACACTCGGAGCGCCGCCCTACTCCAGCGCGGTACGTGTGGCACCCGCGGCGGGGTACGTGCGGTGCGTGTGGTACGTGCTGTGTGTGTGGTACGTGCGGTGCGTGTGGTACGTGCGATGTGTGTGGTACGCGCGGTGCGTGGGGTACGTGCTGTGTGTGTGGTACGTGCGGTGCGTGTGGTACGTGCGATGTGTGTGGTACGCGCGGTGCGTGGGGTACGTGCGGTGTGTGTGCTACGTACGGTGTGTGTGGTACGTGCGGTGCGTGTGGTACGTGCGGTGCGTGTGGTACGTGCTGTGTGTGTGGTACGTGCTGTGTGTGTGGTACGTGCTGTGTGTGCTACGTGCGGTGCGTGTGGTACGTGCGGTGCGTGTGGTACGTGCTGTGTGTGTGGTACGTGCTGTGTGTGTGGTACGTGCGGTGTGAGTGGTGCGTGCGGTGTGTGTGCTACGTGCGGTGTGTGTGCTACGTGCTGTGTGTGGTACGTGCTGTGTGTGGTACGTGCGGTGTGTGTGGTACGCGCGGTGTGTGTGCTACGTGCGGTGTGTGGTACGTGCTGTGTGTGTGCTACGTGCGGTGTGTGTGCTACGTGCTGTGTGTGGTACGTGCTGTGTGTGGTACGTGCGGTGTGTGTGGTACGTGCGGTGTGTGTGCTACGTGCGGTGCGTGGGGTACGCGCGCGAATACGTGCGGGGGGTACGTGCGGGGGGTACGTGCGGTGCGCGGTGATGGTCACCCGCCCCGAGTATCGTGGGGCAGAGAGTTTGGGGGGGGGGGGGGCACGGCTACGGCGCAGTGAAGTCTCGGGGCCCCCGCGGGAGGTGCACGGGCGGAACGATTCCGCCTCAAGATCGCGGTGAGGTGGCCGCAAGCGCCTCTCGCCCTACCACTCCACGGTGTTGTGGCCCAGCGCAGTTTGTCTTCGTGTCGCTGCGACGTGGAATTGCTGCCCGCCCAACCTCCATCTCCACCACCTCCCCCCTCTCTCTCTCTCCCCGTAACCGCTCGAAATGTCATCCTGCACGGTACCCACGCCGTAGACTGGCACACATCCTAAAAGAAAGGGGATTTGACCACCGCAAGATGTTCACGGGTTGAGGATCGTTGTTGTTGTTGTTTTTTTTTAACACGTGCTATGAAGGAAGGGCCATTGCTGGAACCGTCGCCTTATGATAGATATTTGACCTTTAAGGCTCCAGTGACGGATGTCTTGAGGGTTTGTTGTGTTATACTTTGTGTTTCTGTGAGGGTGTGTTGTGGGGTCTCACTCCGAATCAGTCGAGCGGCAATATCTTTTCATCGGTTGCGTAACGCTCTGTGGAAGCTACCTGGTCTGTCGCTCCGCACTAAGTTGCAGGTCTTCTCGGCCACGGTCATTCCCTCCCTTCTCTACGCTTGCGAAACGTGGACCCCCCTAATGGAACATCTTCGCCGGTTAGAAACATTTAGGCTGGCCTGCCTACGATCCATCCTGGGTTTAACCAGGCTGGGTCGTATGAGGAGCTCACAAATCCTTGAAAGATCTGGGCAAGGTCCCATCGGTGAGCTCCTCCGGCAGGCAAGGCTGCGTTGGCTGGGTCATGTAGCCCGCATGCCCAGCCACCGTATGCCGAAACAGCTTTTGTGCGGCCGGATCGAGGGGGCTAAACGGGCGCGGCACGGGGTAGAGAAGAGATGGAGTGATGTGGTACAGGAGGACGTGGAGCTGAGTGGACTTGCCGATGACTGGTACCAGCGGTGTCAAGATCGGCCTCTGTGGAGGAGGCTCGTGAAGGATGCTACTGGGCAGTTGGAGGCAGTCGCCCTCCAACAACAACGGAGGGCGGAGGAGCGACGCTCACAACAACGAGTGGAGCGCCGGATGGCTAAAGCACAGCAGGTTGGCACAGTAGGGGGCACAGGTGGTGCATCAGCCAGTGATCTCAGTCATCTTAGTCAGTCGACCCGTGGCACTTGGGTCTGCCCCCTGACCTCCTGCCAGCGGGCGTTCGACACTTCACGTGTCCTCAAGGTGCACATGGCCTGGCACAAGCGTCGTGGTGACGTCACCGCCACTTAGTGGCGAATGGCGGTTGTTGTGTGTGTGGGGAGCGATAGTGTAGCGGTTAGCGCGCTGCGCTATGAACCTGGCCACCCGGGTTCGATTCCCGCTCACGGCCAACACCAGTGACGATTATCTGAACCGGTCCCGGACCTCCCCTAGGTCGACTCAGCCTCAAATGAGTACCTGGTGTGGTGTGTAAACATCGCCACTAGGGAGACAAAGGCGGTCGGGCGTGGTGTTGGCCACCCACCCCCTCGTGTACCGTTCCGGCCTTCATAGGTGATCGCTAACAGCCCCTACAGTCTGTTAAGGCTATATGGGAGATCTTTGATCTTTGTTGTGTTATACTCTGTGTGTGTGTGTCTGTGAGGTTGCAATAGACTGTCGGGAGTGGTTGGTGCACTTGACTGGCGAAGCCGATTTTTCCCGGTTACGGCCACAAACAGTGGCGAATATGCCAACCGGTCCTGAGCTGTCGCTTAGGTCGACTCAGACTTAAATGAGAACCTGGTGCAGTGTGTAAAACATCGCCACTAGGAAAACAAAGGCGGCCGGGCGTGGTGCTGGTCACCCACTCCCTCAAGTGTCGTGTCGGCCTTAATAATAGGTGCCCCCTACAGTCTGTTAAATTCTCCGTGGGCAATCTTTGTCTTTGTGCTAGGCTGTGAGTGAGTGTGCTAGGCTGTGTGAGTGTACTAGGTTGTGAGTGTACTAGGTTGTGAGTGTGCTAGGCTGTGAGTGAGTGTGCTAGGCTGTGAGTGAGTGTGCTAGACTGTGTGTGAGTGTGCTAGGCTGTGAGTGAGTGTGCTAGACTGTGTGTTAGTGCGCTAGGCTGTGAGTGAGTGTGCTAGGCTGTGTGTGTGTGCTAGGCTGTGTGTGTGTGCTAGGCTGTGTGTGAGTGTGCTAGGCTGTGTGTTAGTGCGCTAGGCTGTGAGTGAGTGTGCTAGGCTGTGAGTGAGTGTGCTAGCCTGTGTGTGAGTGTGCTAGGCTGTGTGTGTGTGTGCTGGGCTGTGTGAGTGTGCTAGGCTGTGTGAGTGTACTAGGCTGTGTGTGAGTGTGCTGGGCTGTGTGTGAGTGTGCTGGGCTGTGTGTGAGTGTGCTAGGCTGTGTGTGAGTGTGCTGGGCTGTGTGAGTGTGCTAGGCTGTGTGAGTGTACTAGGCTGTGTGTGAGTGTGCTGGGCTGTGTGTGAGTGTGCTAGGCTGCGTGTGAGTGTGCTAGGCTGTGAGTGTACTAGGTTGTGAGTGTGCTAGGCTGTGAGTGAGTGTGCTAGGCTGTGAGTGAGTGTGCTAGGCTGTGTGAGTGTGCTAGGCTGTGAGTGAGTGTGCTAGGCTGTGAGTGAGTGTGCTAGGCTGTGAGTGAGTGTGCTAGGCTGTGTGAGTGTGCTAGGCTGTGAGTGAGTGTGCTAGGCTGTGAGTGAGTGTGCTAGGCTGTGAGTGAGTGTGCTAGGCTGTGTGTGAGTGTGCTAGGCTGTGTGTGTGTGTGCTAGGCTGTGTGAGTGTTCTAGGCTGTGAGTGAGTGTGCTAGGCTGTGAGTGCGTGTGCTAGGCTGTGTGTGAGTGTGCTAGGCTGGGTGTGTGTGTGTGCTAGGCTGTGTGTGAGTGTGCTGAGCTGTGTGAGTGTGCTAGGCTGTGTGTGAGTGTGCTAGGCTGTGTGTGAGTGTGCTAGGCTGTGTGTGAGTGTGCTAGGCTGTGTGTGAGTGTGCTAGGCTGTGTGTGAGTGTGCTAGGCTGTGAGTGAGTGTGCTAGGCTGTGAGTGAGTGTGCTAGGCTGTGTGTGAGTGTGCTAGGCTGTGTGTGAGTGTGCTAGGTTGCGTGTGAGCGTGCCGTGGGTTAGATTTTTAGCCATAGCAACACCATGACAGTTATATTTATTTATTCATCTTTAAAAGGCAGTGTTTTTTTTTGCCGAATGCGTCTAGATTTTCGAGGTCAGTGTTTGGGCCGTGGTTGGTTTGTGTCATCATCCGGAGGAGCCGGTGGTGAAAATTCGACATTCCTATGTCGGAGCCATTAACAGGGGCAACCGCTGTTGACTTCCCCACAAAATTGTACACTACGTATTGTATCGACCCCACAGAGGGAGCGATGATGGGCTGCACGAAGTGTGAATGCATCTTTTCATCTGTGGGGCAGCGATAGTGTTGTGGTTAGCGCACTGCACTACGGATCCGGACGGCCCGAGTTCGATTCCCTTCTCACGACCGGCAACGGTGGTGACGAATATCTGAGCCGGGTCATGACCCTCCCTTAGGTCGACTCAGCCTTTGGAATGAGTCCCTGGTGCGCTCCGTGACACACAGAGCACCGGGAAGACAAAGGCGGCCGAGCGCGGTTGCTGACCACCCCCACCCGGGCTACTGCCTCGTGCGCCGTCCACACTTTCATGTCGGCGCTCGCGCACAGCACTTGCCCCATCGGCCTGCGCAGACTACACGGAGGGGGGGGGCACCTTTGTCTTCGTTTGTCATCTCTGTGCCGAGACGCGTTGCCGTTAAGTGCTGATTTGTGAGTGTGGCGCTGCCTCTGGGATATTGATGGGCGGGCGAGGCGGTGCACATCAACGCGGAGGGCTGCTGTCGGAACCACCGTCACGTGTTGGTTGGGCTGCCACGGTGGCCAGGAGATGTTAACTAGCTGGCCTGGTACAAAGGAGGTCGTGGGTTCGATCACGACCCTGACGTCTTGTGCTGCATATTTGGAGTTTGCGTGTCTCTCTCTCTCTCTCATCATCATCATCACGGTGGCTAGGAGATGTTAACTACCTCGCCTGGTATACAGGAGGTCGTGGGTTCGATCACGACCCTGACGCCTGCTGTTGTATATTTTGAGTTTGCGTGTGTCTCTCTCTCTCTCTCATCATCATCATCATCACGGTGGCTAGGAGATGTTAACTACCTCGCCTGGTACACAGGAGGTCGTGGGTTCGATTCCGACTCTGCTACCTGCCATTGTATATTTTGGAGTTTGCGTGTCTCTCTCTCATCATCA